GAAACCCTTCTGTTTCAAAAAAATTCAAATTTTTTCTGTTTTGTTCTGCTAACTTTTCGAAAGCATTTTGTCGGGTTCAGCATTAAAACCTGAGTATGAAAATGATACTTGATCGAGGTTCAAGTTAAAGGTCTATCCAGTATGGACGTCCTGGATAGACCGTGGGAAAAGTCCCTAGATAATTTTGCAAACCTATCTAGCTTTTTTCGTGAAGAGATGAAGCCGACTTTTTTATTCCATTCGAGCTGGAAGTAAACGAGCTTTAAAAGTGCGCTTCGCTTTTTTATTTATGTTGCCTTACTATTGAGAAAACACATATTTTCTTTATCAGCAGTGAAAAAATTGGAATTCTGCCCGTAATCCACCACAACTCACTTTTAATGTAATAAATATATCATATTCGGAGTCACCGTCGAAAACCGAATCGAATGATATATTTTTCGAAAACTTCTGGTGATTCTCATTTCTTAGTGAAACTCTTACGTTATTAATTTTTCGACGTGAAACTTCGAAAAAAACAAAGACGGTCGGATAGGATAAAAAATGTACATCATTCGATTTTTTAAAGCTCGTTTACTGTTGGCTCTAATGGAATGAAAAAGTCAGCTTCATCTCTTCACAAAAAAGGCAAGATGGGTTCGCAAAACTGTCTAGGGACTTTTCCCAGCGGAAGTCCAGGACGTCCATACTGGGTAGAAATTTATTTAACATTAGAATTTTAATTAGAATTTTTTTGAAACCGAAGGATTTCTCGAAATTTGAGACCGTTCTAGTATTTAGAAGATTTTTCATTCAAAAACCAATCTTTCAAAGCTAAAATGTAGACATTTGTGATCAGCATGGAATTCTGCATCGAATGATACATAATATATTAGAAAACAAAATCTGGCTCGAATTTTGAATTACGTGCAGCTTATCTGATAACTACTTCTCAGAAAGAATTTTCACACTTCAATTTTTTCTCATTTCAAAACCTAGTAGAAAAGAAAAGTGCAGTTGAGTAACTAGCGAGCGGATGAAAGATTCGATGTGCTATGGTTTTAAGTAAAAATAGGCAGCTGTAAAGATGAGAATTTCATCGCAATATAATGTCCAAATCCTAGAAGTGTTTTGTTCTGTGCCACTTTTGTTTATTTATGTGAGTTCAAGTTAAAAATAGTATTCAACCCGTTCAGCGTCATTCAGCACTCAGCTTCACGTATTACTGCAAGTGCTTGAAAAGCTCTAGTCCCGCGTTTTGTTCCATTTCACATCGGCTTTTCAGAGATAAATTCTGAAAACATTATACGACACCGCACACCAACATTGACACGAGAATTAATGCCTAATGGAAATGTTAACACAACAGTTTTAGTAGCTGATGGCATATATTTATTTTCATATAATAAAAAGGACAGCAGTGGATAAGAACACGGGGAAAATTTTGTCGACTGATGTGTATCTCTATCCTATCCGAGTACTTTGATTTTTTTCGAATTTTCACGTTGAAAAATCATCAAAATTTTCACAAAAACATAAAACTGAACTAAAAATTTCAAAATACACATCAGTCGACTCCGTTTTCGATTCTAATTCCGAATAATTTTACTTTTATTACACAGAAGTTGTGTTCTAATTGGGAAAATTGAGAATTACAAGCAAAATGCCGACTTTTCGCCTGATATTTAGAAAAGATGCCTTTTCGAAAAAAATACTCTCTCTAAATCTTTTTCTGGTCATATTTGAATTCCTCATTCAAAACTGAGTAGGACTACATGTGTTCTGAACTGCCTCTCGGCCTCTCCGAGAAGCTATATACAAAATACTTTTCAAAAATCGCGTTTTCTCGTAGTTTTTTCACATTTTTGACCTATTTTTCCGTGAAAACTACATTTTTTCTAGCTTCTCGACATACCATCTGAAAGCTGGCGTTGTGGCGGTTTCAAAAGACTAACTTTGAAGGTTCTAAGTTGATTGGCTGAGGGCAGGGAAGGCCAAAAACCATGGTGACCAATTTTGACCATTTGCCAGTATATGTCATTTTTTTCGATCAAGACTTGTTTTTTTCCGATTTTTGACGAACACAACTTCTATGTGATAAAAGTATCATATTCGGAATTAGAATCGAAAACGGAGTCGACTGATGTGTATTTTGAATTTTTAGTTCAGTTTTAAGTTTTTGTGAAAATTTCGATGATTTTTCAACGTGAAAATTCGAAAAAAATCGAAGTACTCGGATAGGATAGAGATACACATCAGTCGACAAAATTTTCTTCGTGTTCCTGAGGACGCCCCTTAGGGCCCAACACTTTCGAGAAAACCCAAAGCGAATATTTAGAGAAACTGAATCGACAGTTTTGTTCAGAATTCGACGCTGATTCAGAATATGTGTCTTCTGATCCGATTAGTTGAGAGAACATTTTGACCCCTATCCGCTGCCGTCCTTTGCGAAAGAAACCAGATTGAGTCATTCTCTAGGTTTTCCACTATTTCCCACGTAAAAGAACTCTACCACACAGTTCTTCTTCCTGGAAAATACAGTGATGCATTTTCTCATGTTAATCTTTGTTTATTAGAAATCGAGAAACAAAGACTTTTTCTCTACCCAAATCCAATTAGTTTCCAATGTATTATATACAGAAATGCAGCTGAGCAAAAGAGATTCCGAATGGTACATAGTAGTAGATGTGGTTAAGTATGAAATGGGACGCCGAGGTATAGTAACTACAACTTGCACTAGGTTTTGAGGCGAAGAAAAATTGAAGCGTAGAAATTCCTTTTTAAGGAGTAACTGTAAGGTTTACCAAACGCCCAGTTCCACTGCTCTACGCATTTTGTATCTACTCTGTCAATAAACTGACTTCGGTGAAGTATAGTCCCCACCTTTTCGTTGCAGATCTCCGTATTGCTAAAATTTAATTTTTTCAAATGGACGATTTATCGATGGTAACAAAAAGGTATAGTATGAGATCTAATAGCTAACATCTATTTCACTTAGTTATGCAGTACAGCCGCTTTGTTATTAGTGTTATACCAAGAAATGATCACAATTCATTATTATCCACACTGCATAATCAACGTCAACAACAATTTACTGCTATACTGCTTGATTTTAATTATAAAGAAAATGATGATATACATGAAAAGCTGAATCAAATATTTACAAATTTGAAATCATTTACGAATCCATCTTTATGCATACAACATATATTTGAGCATAAAAAACAGCAACTATTCTTTATCGGTTTCAGTTTATCAGCACAAAATGTTGTTCCATTGATTCATGACCTTAATGGAATCTATGCTTCCTATATTTATTGTCAAACGAAAAAACAACATCAACAATGGCTAAGAAAAAAAGGATTAAATAAAATAAAACTTTTTTTAAATAAAACTAAACTATTTCAACAATTAGAAGATGATATTCTTCAATGTGAGAAACATAGTGAAGATGACGATATTCATCCGTTACCAACCGTAAGTTGTTTCAATGAGAAGGCATTAAAAAATAGTTCAATTCGAACTTTAAGTAAACATTCAAAAGAATTTATTCGGTTTCGATTATTAATTGAAATTTTATTAACTTTATCATTTGAAAGAGAAAGAGCTAAAAAGTTGATGATTGACGCTTGTCGTAATTACTATAATGGTAATGATAGCGAAAATAACAATATAACAAAATTTGAAAATGATAATGTTGATGCAATTCGTTGGTACACAAGTCCAACATTTTGTCATAAATTAACAAATAGAGCTTTAGGTACAGAAGATGTTAATTGTTTATATACATTTCGTTTTATGATTGTCGAAATACATAATCAATTAGATAGTTTGCATAAAACTCGTACACAATTATTACCATCAATTATCTATAGAGGCACAGCTGTAAAAGCCATTTTACTTGAAAATTTAAAAGAAAATTTAAATGGATTAATATCGATGAATGGATTTGTATCAGCTAGTCTTAATCAGCAAATTACTAATATCTATTCTGGTAAAGGTGATCCAGTTCGTCCTGGTTATGAACGTGTCTTATTTAAACTACCTATAAATGATAAAATTGCAACAAGACCATATGCACTTATTCGAGAGTTTAGTGATATACCGGATGAAGATGAAATTTTATTTTCTGCTGGTACAATATGGCGTATAAATTCAATTAATAAAGATGAAGAAATATGGATTATTGAATTAGAATTAATTAAAGAAGATGAAGATAAACGTTTAATAGAATTAACTAATTATTTAAAACAACAGTTAGGCGAAACATCATCATTATTAACATTAGGTAACTTTTTAACTGAGATAGGTGAATATGAAGAAGCTCATTGCTATTATCGACGAGTATTAGAAGGATTAGATGAATCTGATTATGAGAATAGGTCAATTATTTATAATAATCTCGGTTGTCTTCGTTATGAAACAGGAAAATATATGGAAGCTGAAGTTTATTTTGACCATGCTCAAAAATGTTTAATTGGTAATAAAGAAACATTATCTGAATCAAGTACAGAAATACTTGCTCGTTGTAGTCGTTCGCTTCGTAATCCTACTACCTCATTATCGCCAGCTGCCGAAGAGACATTTGATTTCATAACAAAGTCATTAACAGCTAATCATTCATTAGTTATTGGAAAAATTTATAATAATCAAGGTCTAGTTTATTATCGTACTCATGCTTATTCAAAGGCTCTGAATAAATATGAAGAAGCTAGAGATATATTTGAAAAGAAAACTCGTTCTCCATTAGATATATCAGCTGTCTATAATAATATTGCTATTATAAATTTTAAAACCGAACACTATATAGATGCGAAAGAAAATTTTCAAAAAGCAATTAATATTGGTGTTGAAAAATTACCATTCGAACATCAGTGGATTAAGGATTATATACAAAACAAAAAACTTGTGTTAGATTACCTTGATGGAAATGAACCAAAACGACGAAAATTTCGTTAACTTTTTTCCATGCAAGTTCCCTTTTCAGGATTCTGTTGTTTAGACAGACATTATTTGTTTTTGCAGGAAATTTTGTTTTTTTCTTCTTGTGCACTCACATTTTTTTGCAAAATGTGAGCCGCGTGAGCTAGAGAACTATGTAACGTAGAAAACTGCTGGAAACGGGAGGATATTCACTTTGTAGTGCAGATTGATAGTTGTACGTTCTTTTTCAAAAGTCAGATTAGGCGTCGTAAGCTCCATAAGTGGAAGAAACATGTGTTTTGAAGTTAGAAACGTTTTGTATATTTATAAGAGTTGATTGTCCGGCACCATTTGTTCTTGAGAGGAAATATAATTCTCTCCCTCCCTTTTTCTTGTGTCCTTCAAGTGATTGATATTACATCACAGCGAGTGTTTTTTAGTTCTGTTATGTAGGATTTCGTTTTGGGAACACTGTTCGTTTAAATTTATACAAACGATTTTCCAGGCAATCTTGACAATATTTGTTTTTTGTTTGTAGATGATTCATCTGTATATGTGAAGAATAAAATAGAGTGAGTACAAAAAAATGACTAGTGATTTAGATAAAATAATAAATGATCAAATGAATGACTACTTTCTTTAAATGCAAATAAATGTGTTGGCATGATATTTTCTCGTATTTCTTATACAAACATAAGTTTACCACCTTTCTAGAATAATAATATCAATCTCGAATATGCTTCTGAACATGTTCACTTAGGTCTGCCATTAATCTCAGTCAAGCCTAGACTAGAAATGTCGCATTGATAATTTGATCACAACAGATGGTAAAACAGTGGGTTCACTCAAATGTTTATGTCGTACTATGTCTTGTAAAGCTCTTAGTTTAGCATATAATGTATTTATTGTAGGTTAATTAAATTAACTATATGACGGTCAGCAACAAGTAGATGGTCAATTAAATTTTTAGCACCTAAAGAAAAATTATAAGATATGAATATCACAGTAAGATTTCTTGTGAAATAATAAACTTACTTGCTGATATTGAACTCCAGTAATTGAGATTGTATGTAAATTTTCCACGTTTAAGCATTTGAAATAGTTCTTTCTTATTTCAATCTATATTTATAAATGTTGGTTAACTAATCATCAGGTCGCCAACCATGAAAAATACGTTTAGAAAATGACTTTATCGGAATTGCTGGAGATTAAAAATATTGAACGGATTAAAGCGTAGCGACTCTTAGCAGTCTTAAAAAATGATTTATATTGTTTTTAAATACTTCTTTCGCCTTAAAATCAAGCAGGTAGTAAGTGCTTAGTGCATAACACATGTATGTGCTTCGACACGTTTGTACAAAGTAGAGCGTGTTTGCATAATGGGTATATGTTTTGCGTTCTCTCTCTCCTTTTTCTTTTTCGGCATCCACAAGTGCTTCATATAATATAGACCACCCATTAGAACGAATAAAAATACCGAAGTGATCTCTACTAGGCATGCACCAAACCGATAGTTCGGTGACCGAACGGTTCGCAACCGAACATGTTCGCTGCCGGTCAGCGAGCCCTAGCTTGGGATGGTTGCATGCCTGATCTGGACTAAACGCAAATTGAATGAAATTGAAACTTTTGAACGAAGTAACCAGTGAGAAAATAGATTAACTAAAGCACAATGTGAGCGAATGTGTCCTCTATCGAATGTGCCCAGATGAAACACGTCTTGTAAGACCTTGCAAGATCTGATACTTTCTTGTGAAATCTTGTAATAAAGTCTTACGATATGATCATACAAGACCTTATTATAAGATAATATAAGATCTTATGGAATCTTGTAATTTCTTGTTATAAGATCCCCCAAGATCTGATTATGAGAAGTGACAAGGTCTTGTAAGACCTT